GAAAAAGCAGGGGCTATTTGTGCTGCGTTGTCACGTTTCATTGCTGCACAGTTGCATTGAGATATCGCAACTCTTTCCGAGATATAGATACAGAGGCCACACTTGCACAATAATTGCCAGTTTCATTTTTTTTGCCTGAAATATAATGTGTTCCACTTCTCTTGACTCTTGGCAATCACGGAGCATGCGCAAAATTATGGTACACACTTGCAATTTTCTTTGCAATGTGCTGCCAGGTGACCCTCTCTGCCATTCCTAACGTTGCTGCAATGCTGTCTGAGCCTGTCGTTTAAGCACCGCTTAGTTTGGCCTGGGTACTTCTTGCCACAGGGCAGGAAAATATCGTAAACCACACCAACCTGACCTTCGACATATTTAGTTTTGAGGGTTATGATACAAGCTCGTACTTTTTGGAGGTGAAAATTTGTCATTTTGTAGTAACGTTCAGACATTTTCAAGGTGCAGAGAAGATCACCTTTACATCTACCCACTTAGCAATCTTCTTCGAGTTATGGCACAAGCAATCAACATACAGTATTACACCTACGTTTTCATTTACCCAACGGGGCTTTTGGTCCACTTAGCGGGTTTGTGATTTCTTTAGGATTGTGTGTGTGTCTCCCTTTTTGTCTGTCGTTTTCTTTGTGCCTTCTATTTCGAATCATGTAATACCGACACGCGCAGTTGCCCCGTCGCGGTGGTCTAGTATAGTAGCTAATGTACTCGGTTGCTGACCGGCAGGTCGCGGGATCAAATCTCAGCTGTGGTGGCTGCATTTTCGATGGAGGTGGAAATGCTGTCGGCCCGGGTGCTCAGATTTGGGTACACGTTAAAAAACCCCAGGTTGTCAAAATTTTCGGAGCCCTCCACTACAGTGTCTCTCATCATCACATGGTAATTTCGGGACGTTAAACCCCACATATATATCAATCAACACACCCAGTTGTTTACTCTCACATATTGCAATACCTGCGTTACACTGGTGTTTGAAAGACCTTTCAATTGATAGTCCCAACTGATAGACTCAGTGGTCAAACATGGTCTGCTACATGGGAGGTTTTGAAGCCATAGAGTCCACAGTCTATTTAGTTGACAGAGCATCCCACAATCCTATCAAAACTTCTTTGGCCATTGAGTGATGAAAACAGATACCATGCAAACGTGCCTTCTTGTTCAGTGTACTCGTACTCATGATTATAAAAAGAAAAATCTGAAGAGTATGCTTCGAAAGCAGTGTATGTGAGTGGTTCGAATGATTTAATGAAGTATTTTTGCAATTTGAAATTTGCGAACTGCATATACTCGTTAAGGGGGACGTAGCAATGAAAACTATTTTACTTATTTATAGACATGAAGGGATAAAATTTGGCACGCAGATGTCATTTGTTGCACTGATATCATAACTTAAAGGCAGAGACTGCTGCGCCGTGCGTTGGACGAGCCACCTCCACACAGAAATGGCTCCTGCATCGCACAGAAATGCCACCATACACTTTTTCCGGTTGGGTGGATTGTTTGTGCAGGACATGACTTCACCAAATCTGCACGCGATCGGTGTGCCTCCTCATCGCCCTCTCATTGGCCATATTTGCTGCTGCTGTGCTTTTGATGGTCCTATCTGCAGGACCTTTGATTCTGAATGTTTCATGACCAGTGCAGAATCGGCTGTGATACGCTGTTCTGAGAATTAATGCGCTTCCTTTGGGAGGCGAAAAGGACACACAAAATTCTGATGCAGTTGGCACGCATCGGTTTCTCCGGCATGCGCATCAGGAATGCTGATTTGCACGGTTTAACAAGGTTCTGGTGACAGGAAAGCACACTGCAACAGACTTGGTCTCAGAACTGAGTCACTGGGCACCTAGATTTCGTGAATGGCTCGTGGTTAGGTGCTATTGCGATGAAAAGAAGTGCAAACGGCGTAGAGTGGCTTTTGGTACACTCAAACTGCAACATGCTTCGACTATCGCTAGTCAATTCTGTGCTTTCGGCCGGTGTCACTGTAGCGCTAGAATTTCATTCAGGTCAGTGCTATCGCATTGCGTGTGTTCAAAGTGCAGTGCACAACTGGCAGACAATAACCAGAAGAAGTAATGGTGGACAAATTTTCTGCCATAATTTTCATAGCATCTAGCAGTCGCTGCTTCTTTTCGCCTTTTGTAGCTGCGCCAAATACGCAACATATATAACCTTGTTATGTTGCTCAGTGTACCATCACTGCCTCATGAAATAATCGGCCGACTAAGTTGCTTCAAAATGCTGTCCTGCTACCTTGATGCTCAAGGCGATCAACACTTGATAAAGATGCGCAATGGCAAGTGCTTACCGCCTTAGCCCACCTACCTACAAAACAGTGCCAAACCGTTTGTGTGCCTTGCTGAATAACATAGCCTGTGACAGCACAGCACCATTCACCTAGCAAGGGATGAGGACTTTTGATACGTGCGCTCTTTGCGAAAAAGCCTGTAATGCAGGAGCATTGGTCTTGAGAGATGACAGACTTCGTAAAAACACTTCGCAGCTGCACTGGGTATTCTTGTGCCTCCGGACATTCACATGAACTGTGAAAAAACATTTCATAGTCGACCTTGCCCTTCGCAACCTGCAAAATGAGGTACTCTACAACAAGGACGCTCTCGCCTTTGACAATACTGTGTCTTGACATTGTAATCTAGAAAATACAGTACGTCCAACAGCAATAATCTACACGTCATAATGAGAAACTTAATGTCATGCATGCATTATCTCGCCGCTACCACCTTTGCCACTGTGGCCACTGTTTACTTTTCGCAGAGCCCCCTAGTTCTTGTGATTTCCTTAATTAATGAAGCTTAACTGACTTGTTGATCATTTTTTGTTTAATATTTTTCTAGTTTAACATATTATAAAGCAATGATTTGTTCATTTGAATGGTCTTAAGGTTATTTCATGAACCTTATGTCACTTCCGTGCAGTGCAGGAGTCTATTTTGTGTGGTATCGTCTTGTGCACTACGCAGCGCAAGAGACGCTGCCTAACTGAAATTGGTTTTGAGCTATCTAATCTAGTTTCTGAGTTGCAACACTTGACAGACTCCTATTGTCATCCCAAAATTAATTAGGCATAAGTTCATCAAAATTTTTGCATAAGGATATTCACAAGGGCCTATTCTGTGCTCTAATGCTATTGGTTAACTTTTTAATATTCAAGTAAGCACTCAAAATTTTTTAAAACTTTGTTGAGCACATTGTTTAACCAACAACTTTTACAAAAACCAATTATAAAAATCTGAATGATGTGCTCATAAATATAGAAAGCTCTACGGCATTCACTAATGTTTTGGGATCTAAGCTCAACAAACAGAATGGCTATATCTTCATTGGTTGCAAAATGGCACAGGGACGACTGATAGTAACTGCTCAAAAAAAAAAAAAAAAATGAAAGCTGAGAAAATCGAGCTCAAGGAAATTGGAGCTAGAAGCTAAGAAAACGAAGGGAGCTGGCTTTATTTTTCATTGGAAAAATGCAGCTTTGAGGATATCTTGAGCTCCGACTTGAGCTCCGATTTCTCCTCTTTATGATGATGTCAATATTAAGGCAATCTGTCAAAGTAAAGCTGTAGATTTTCTTTTTCTAAAGTATAATAATGAAGTCTCCCGGATTTCGACCGTTCCTACTATTTCCTAGAAAATTTCCTAGAAATCAAAATTTCTGTGCGTTAGCTGGCCGCATCAGCAAAAATGCAGGTCAAGCTGTCCCAGGCTTTTTGTGAAACCACCGTATTTTAGTGATAAACGAATTGAGGAGGCGTTCATTTAATGTACAGTAGAATCTCAGTGATGCGAAATTGCAGCAGATACAAATTCGTCAAATTCCCCAGCCAAATTACACTGTGTCTATTGGGCTGAAACTTAAATGTTGCGAACTCATTTCCTAATCGCGGCGAGTGATGTGAACTTCAGTACTAAAAACGTTGAACTAAGGCCGAGAGCAGTGGGCTCGAAGCTTCGGAAGTACTCGTGCTAGCAGCGCACACACTGTCTTCTACAGTCCTTGTGGTTATCGCTACAACCACTGTGGACAAAACCACAGTCATGCATGGCAACGAGGTAACAGACAAAACTCCGAAAATGTGCGTGTGTCCAATGCTCGACCGGTCAAAGCAATGCTGCATTTCACAAACTGTGTGGACAAAAATCATAGATTGCATAAAACGAGTCAGTTGTGAAGGCACATGCGGAGCCAGCGCACGAGGATTGAAAACAGAACCACTGTTTGCTGTAACCGCCTTGCACAAAACCGCAGTGGCGGTGACGTGATAGCGATCTACGATCTCTGAGGGTACGTGGTTAACGCAGCGATAGAAAGCAGTAAAGGCGTAAGAAAGGCTAGACGCGTTTTGGCGTTCCTGTTCAAAGAATCTATAGTAGCAAGGGAAGGTTCGACTCACCCTTTCGCGGCAGTCAGCTGCCCCATCCCATCTGTTAGCGTGTGTGCCAGGAAGACATATGCGACTTGTTTTTACGGGAATAGATCCGCTAGTTGTTTTGATGATGCGAAATCTCGGCGGTATTTGTGGTCCCCCTTTGAGACTCTCACTTTAGTGGGAAAGCCTTCTTTCGTGTGTTTGCCACTCCAAGTCATAATAAGACCGCAAAGCCGATGCTTGCGCTGGCGACCCTCCCCCTCTTGTTTTTCGTTATGTTATTTTTGTGCCGAAAAAATGGCAAATAACCTACCCCCACCCGTTGCAGAAATCTCCCGGATTCAGAATCCTTTAACTTGGCAGGTATGCTAAAACCCAATTTTTTCATAGCTTCTGACAATATTCCTCCAGTAAAATGCTTCTTTCTCCACTTCTGATACCTATTTTGTTCTAATATTTCAGGATTGCAAAAAAAAAATCAATTGAAAAATGGAACATTTTGACCAAATTTACCATTCCCATCATCACATCTCCCCTTAACAACAACTTGTTTGTCTTTGCCCCGCCATGGTGGTCTAGTGTTTATGGCACTCACCTGCTGGCCCAAAAGTCGCATAGTGGAATGCCAGCTGCAGTGGCTGCATTTTCGATGGAGGCATAAATGTCTGTGGCTCATGTACTTGGATTTAGGTGTCGTTAAGAACCCCAGGTGGTTGAAATTTCTGGGGCCCTTCAGTGAACTACGGTGTCCCTCATAATCGTATTGCGATTTCAGGATGTTCAACCCCAAGTATTATTATTATTAACTTGCTTGTCTTTATCTCACCGTTTTTCTGGGTCTTGCTCGCCACAGTTTCACTGCTCAACTTAAAAATTAAATATGTACCTCCACCAGGGGACCCGGGTTGCTTGAGCGGTTCCACAACAGCTCAGCCTTCGGACCTCAAATCTCCGTCAAAACTGTGAGTAATAATCTAAATTTCCTCGCATGGTTTTATGAGGCTTCGGAGCACTTCGAGGAGCACGGTTTAGCCACCCAAACCAGTTACAACTTGAGAAATTAATGACTCATACTTCGGTTAGGCCTAACAACAGCAGCCACTGGCTCCACTTCGATCAAATCAGGAATCCCGCAAGAAAAGCTACTACGCACCTCTAAAACCATCCTCGATTCCTCTTGGGACGTTCCGGAGCCTCGCCGCTACCATCTTATCTTGAATCTGCGGGAAAAACGGTTTTTCTTCACCGAAAATCAACTGTGGGTAACACGTGTATCCGCCCTATGGGGGCTGCCATGTTGACAGGGGACTTTAGCACCTGGCCCCTCGAGCTCAAAGATTGAATGAAAAGGCAAAAGATCACAACAAATATTGGTAACATTATTAAATCACGCAGAAGGAGGACTTCGGGCTCTGAGCTTAATCTTACCAGTTTCTGACCGGCGAAAACAAACCCACAAGCAATTTTTCCCACGTTATGACCATATGGGGGCCGCCATCTTGGGTGGGACCAAGCCACTTTGAGGACAACGAGTCATATCTCGCTTCTACACACCCCAGGACGACAAATCAGGTCTCAATTGAGTGGTTAAAATCCGGAGATAGCCGTAGAAAAAACCGCGAGCGCCCAATTCAACTGAGAGCATCAGAAGAGACTTATTCAGAAGACACACTCAGTGTTGCCGGACTGCTGTCACTGCTTGAGCGGGGTTTGGCGAAACAGCTTCCACAGCGAATTAAGCCCACCGGAACTGCTCCTCCACCTCTTAGCCAATAAGCACAGATTATTGCAACTGCGGAAGCGGGAGCGGCCGCGTCAGCAGCACGGGTAAGTGAGCTCTGCACATATCTACCTATAACTTTAGCAATTTTGGTCCTAGGAGGGTCAGAGTGGTGTCTATTTGTTCGTGAAGATACAAGGAGTTCAACCGCTACAAATACTGCTATTACAAATGAAAATTTTAAATTTGAGGAGTGGAAAACAGTGTGAATCTGTGAAAACAACAACAGTCTGACCACGTGCCCGGTGCCGCACAGTTCCCAAACGAGAAAAAAAAAAAAAAAAAGGCGTGTTGATGGAACTGCATTAAGAGGCCTGAGGTGCGGCCTCACCGGTAACCACCGCCGGGAACGCACTCCCTCACCAGAGAAGGATTGGCCACCCTGGTGCAGTATTTGGCCACTACCTCCCACATGCATACGCCAAATAACTCACGGCCCTCAGTCCTCAGCAGCTGCGAAGCAACAGACTACGGCGGCGGTCAGATCTGCAACGCAGCAGAGGGTGCTAAGTATCTCTGGACTACAGGCCGCCATTGGAACCTGAACTTGGCAACGTTTAACGCTAGAACCTTATCTAGTGAGGGAAGTCTAGCTGTACTATTCGAGGAGCTAGAGGGTGTTAAATGGGATATAATAGGGCTCAGTGAGGTTAGGAGGACAGATGAGGCCTATACTGTGCTACAGAATGGGCACGTCCTTTGCTATCGGGGCTTGGCAGACAGAAGAGAACTGGGAGTGGGGTTCCTAATTCACAGAAACATAGCTGGCAACATAGAGGAATATTATAGCATTAATGAAAGGGTGGTAGGTATCGTAATTAAAGTGAATAAAAGATACAAGATGAAGGTGGTACAGGCTTACGCGCCTACATCCAGCCATGATGACGCTTCAGTTGAAAGCTTCTATGAAGACGTGGAATCGGCAATGAGTAAGGTAAAAACACAGTATACTATAGTGATGGGCTACTTTAATGCAAAGGTAGGGAAGAAGCAGGCTGGAGACCAGGCAGTAGGAGATTATGGCATCGGCACTAGAAACGCCAGAGGAGAGCTACTAGTAGAATTCGCAGAACGCAATAATTTGCGGATTTTGAATACCTTCTACCAAAAACGAGAAAACCGCAAGTGGACATGGAGGAGCCCTAATAGCGAAAATAAGAACGAAATGGACTTTATAATGACTGCACACCCAGGAATCGTGCAGGATGTGGAAGTGGTTGGCAAGGTACGATGCAGTGACCATAGAATGGTACGGTCTCGAATTCGCCTAAACTTGAAGAAGGAACGACAGAAACTGATACGCAAGAAGCCAATCAATGAGCTAGCACTGAGAGGGAAAGTACAGAAATTCAGAGTGTCGCTGCAGAACAGGTACTCGGCCCTTAGTGAGGAAACCAACCTTAGCGTAGATACAATGAATGATAATCTGACGAGTATCATTACGGAGTGTGCAGTGGAAGTTGGAGGCAGGGTAGTTAGACAGGACACTGGCACGCTTTCCCAGGAAACGAAGAACCTAATTAAGAAGCATCAAATCATGAAAGTGTCAAGTACAACAGACGAAATAGAACTGGCAGAGCTTTCGAAGTTGATTAATAGACGTAAAGTATGCGATGTAAGAAGGTATAACATGGAGAGAATTGAACACGCTCTGAAAAACAGAGGAAGCTTCAAAGCAGTGAAGAGGAAACTTGGGATAGGCAAAAGTCGGATGTATGCACTAAGGGACAAAGAAGGCAAAATAACTACCAATATGGATAGGATAGTCAAAATAGCGGAGGAGTTTTACAGAAATCTGTACAGTAGCAGAGACAACCACGACCTTAATACTATAAGAACTAGCAGTAACCCAGATGACACCCCACCAGTAATGATAGAAGAAGTCAGAAAAGCTTTGGAGAGCATGCAAAGAGGCAAAGCTGCTGGTGAGGATCAGATCTGCTGAAAGATGAAGGACAGATTGTGTTAGAAAAACTAGCCACCCTGTTTACGAGGTGTCTCCTGATGGGAAGAGTACCAGAGTCTTGGAAGAACGCTAACATCATCTTAATACATAAGAAAGAAGATGACAAGGACTTGAAGAATTACAGGCCGATCAGCTTGCTCTCTGTAGTGTACAAGCTATTTACAAAGGTAATTGCTAACAGAGTAAAGAAAACATTAGAATTCAATCAACCAAAGGAACAAGCAGGATTTCGAACAGGCTACTCAACAATTGACCACATTGATACTATCAATCAGGTAATAGAGGAATGCTCACAGTATAACCAACCACTATACATAGCCTTCATAGATTACGAGAAGGCGTTTGATTCAGTAGAAATATCAGCCGTCATGCAGACACTGCGGAATCAGGACGTAGATGAAGTATATATAAACATTCTGGAAGAAATCTACAGGGGATCAACTGCTACCATAGTGCTTCATAAAGAAAGCAACAGAATACCAATCAAGAAGGGTGTAAGGCAGGGGGACACAATCTCCCCAATGCTATTTACCGCGTGCTTACAGGAGGTTTTCAGAAACCTAAAATGGGAACAGTTAGGGATAAGAGTGAATGGAGAATACCTTAGTAACCTACGCTTCGCCGATGACATTGCATTGCTGAGTAACTCGGGGGACGAATTGCAACTCATGATTAAGGAGTTACACAAGGAGAGCAGAAAGGTGGGTCTAAAAATTAATCTGCAGAAAACGAAAGTAATGTACAACAACCTCGGAAAGGAACAGCGGTTCGAGAAAGGTAATAGTGCACTTAAAGTTGTAAATGACTATGTCTACTTAGGGCAGGTATTAACCGCAGAGCCTAACCATGAGATTGAAGTAACTAGAAGAATAAGAATGGGGTGGAGCACATTCGGCAAGCACTCTCAAATTATGACAGGTAGATTGCCATTATCCCTTAAGAGGAAGGTATATAACAGCTGTATCTTGCCGGTACTTAGCTACGGAGCAGAAACCTGGAGACTCACAAAGAGGGTTCAGCTTAAATTGAGGACGACGCAGCGAGCAATGGAAAGAAAAATGGTAGGTGTAACCTTGAGAGACAAGAAGAGAGCGGAGTGGATTAGGGGACAAACGGGGGTTAAGGATATCATAGTTGAAATAAAAAAAGAGGAAATTGGCATGGGCCGGGCATGTAGCACGTAGACAGGATAACCGCTGGTCATTAAGAGTAACTAACTGGATTCCCAGAGAAGGAAAGCGGGTTAGGGGGAGACAGAAGGTTAGGTGGGCAGATGAAATTAAGAAGTTTGCGGGTATAAATTGGCAGCAGCAAGCACAGGACCGAGTTAACTGGCGGAGCATGGGAGAGGCCTTTGTCCTGCAGTGGACGTAGCCAGGCTGATGATGATGATGATGATGTATTCATCACCACGGCCAAACAATTCATAGTTTAAACAAAAAACGACATGCATATCAGTGCTTTTGAGTGTATTTATTCTTTTTTTGTTTTAGTAACATGACAATGAAAATGATGATCCGCAGTGCCACACAAGTCTTGTTAGATACACCTGAACCTCTCAATGGCGATTTGAAACTGCCATCTAGCAGGACGACAACTTTGTCAAGTTGATGACGTTTTGATCGCCATTGACAGCATTGCCTTTCAAAAGTGCCCATGTAACACGACTATAAAGCTGTGACACGGTATTCCTGTGTGAGGCGACCAGCAAGCAAAGCTGCTCAGGTCATCAATGCAGTTAGCTTTGGGCTCTCGCCGTAAAGTGAACGCGTAAATCCACCATCCGTGGTTTTAACTTTACCCCTGAAGATACCACCAATACCCGTATATATGCTTATTGGTAATCGTTCTTACGTAGCTTTAGTTTGTCTGCATACTTCTTGGCTCTTGCAGCTTATCAGCATACTGAAGAATAAAATGTCAGCAGCTGGTATCATTACAGTACCTTGTGGCAAAGAGGTCAACCATGTGATAAATAAAGAGTGGAGTTTCTGCAATTAGCACCTTCATTACGCCATTGCATCACCTGTTGCATCGCTCATTTTATTTTGTGAAGGATTTCATAAGGCTGTAGATCAAAGGCTAACAAACTTCCAAAAACCTTTTCAGGGGCCCATCAATATAGACCTTCTTGTCTGTGGGCATGTGTATATTTTTGAAGAGTCACTTCGTTCTACATGTAGCCTGTGAGATGGCTAGCGTTCGTCCAGTGTTCACATTCATGACACATGTGTTGCTGTATTTACAGTTTTTTCCTTGCTACCCTAATATAGTTTTATTTACTGTAGACACTTCATTGCTGTATTACTTGAGACACTGTTACTGTATTACGTGAGTGTAATGTGTGATACAAAAGTGGGTTAGTGTTTTACTACCTGTACGAGTTATCTTTTGGTATGAAAAGCTACAGATTTGTTTAAAAATAGCCTGTTATTTCAGGCTGCAGAATAGTTCATGGCAGCAGTTGAGTTTTATGCACACTGTAAATTCACTAAAACAGTGGTGGTGAGCAGTAGGTCAGTAGTTCTATTGGGATTGACCTGAAAATGCCCTGAAACTGCTGCTCACTGCGGTCAGTTCATGTTGACTACTTGAGCTGATACTATTCTACGGCTTTGACAGTGATGTGATTGCTACCCAATCGTGCGAAACTGCGCCAAGTGGCAAAACCTGCGGCGTCCTGCCACATTATGGTGAAAATCTTATCACTACAAGCATGCACCGAGACTTTATTTCAATGGCCTTTTGGGGGGGAAAAAAAACGACTTGGCAGGAACTTTGTAGAACTAACTGATCTATCGAACTCTGTGTGCAAGGTTTTTACCAGCAGTATTCTAATGTCTGCATTCATCTGCAACTTAGGAAGACAAAGGTGCAGCCCAGGTGACCAATGCGCAGAAGCCGATTGCTTCCGTGGCTAAAGAAATAGTCTCGCTCATGTTCTCAGATATGCTCTCTAACATGAGGGTTACCATCCATCTGGTTCATGATATCCACAAAGAGAGCATGCTCAATGGTGCTGGCATTTGTACATCCTCTTTTCACATGGCCCCTTCTGTCTAAAGTTGCACAATATCTATTTAGCGGTAATTCTGGATGCTACAGTTTCCTGCCGAAAGGGATCAGATGAGTGGAGGAGGGCTGGGTGTAATGCTAACTGCCCCCTGCTGCATAAACAGTATTTTCTATGACTAGTGCTGTCTCATTCTGTGGCATAACAATATTCGATCAAGTTAATATAGTCTCTAACTACTGTAAAGGCAGAGAAAATTAATGGGTGCAATTACAGGTTTTACAGCGAAAGCTGTTATGAGATTCCAATAAGGGTAGCTTGCGCTGTAGTTGTCTGCTGTTGGTGTAACCACTTTTGCACTAAATAAGAAAAAGAAAACTCCATAAATAAAAAAAACACTAAGGACCCAATGGGATTCGAACCCAGATTCTCTGCATGCCAGCTCAGTAGTCTACCACAGAGCCACGCCGCTGCTTGAAACTACGCTGAAAATTAGCTTTAGGCGTGCTTATTATCGGGAAAGGAATTTCATTGATATGAGTAATAAAGGGAGGAACAACCAAGTGTCTCACAATGTTGATTGCATAACAAGTGGGTTGTCGAAGGGTCCATCCCATTACAATAGCTTCAGGCATAATTCTTCATTGTCATCATCCGTGGCGAAAAAAAATGCACAAAATTCTTTGCAAGTGTGTAGCATGTACCACACTTCTCTGGAGAATGACGATAGATGGCATAGTGAATGATTGCCTGCTACACAAAAGTTGTGATAATTTTTGGTGCAGTGTGTACGCTGCAAGTGGGCTTGGAGCAGCTACCCAATGAGTGCTAAAAGAAAATCTATGAAAGGTTGCTGTTGCACTTTTTGCTGTGACAGTGCTGCATGTTCTGCGGAGGCCACCCAGTTTTTAGTTAGGTCGCAGCTTTTTACTTCATTGATTGCATCAAATACAGGGAGGAGTACATGTATGTGCTGGAACAGACTGCAGTGTTTTTTTTTCCCCCATTCAGGAAGAGGTCATGCAGAGGGCTTGTTCTAATAGGATGCTGCAGTTAGGATTTAACTGCATTTCCAACTGCGGCAGAGGTCTGTGAAGTTTTACTAAGCCACGGAGTCTCGGCATGTGCACACTGGTGTCTCAGTTGTGCTTCGTGCTTCTCGACATCAATGAAAGCTGATGTTCAGTAACTATTCAAATAAGATACGAAGCCCTCCATTGTCACAACTTTTATTGAACACAGTGAATATTTTGGGCACAAAGGACCAGTAATAATAAATAAATCCTGAATTTTGCCCACAAACTGTGAACAGCAGCCCAATGATTTTCTTCACACCATTTATTTTACTATACAAGAGAGACCCAGGTTGTATTGAAAGCACGAACTTTGTCACAATAGGTTTTGTTCTACAGAAAAGAAAATGGCATGGAATAATTGAACAGCTTGCACTTCCATGCAGTAACTCTACCACATTGGAGAGAGCCTCATTTAATAACAGACAAACTGTATTACAGCCAATCTAGGGTTGAAGAAACTAAGTTTGGCACAAGAAAAAGTATAGTAACAAGTAAATTTAACTTCATGGAATTTTATTTGAAAGCATGTATTCACGTGTCCGTATGATGGACTCTCGTTAAACGGAACCTAAAGGGATCAGGAAAAGGTTTTCGTTTAACAGGAGTTTCGTTTACTCAGAGATGAACAAGGATGGAGAATCTAGGTGTGAAGCCAATCTTGCTGGAGCCAGCTGTTCCATTTAAGCAGCAGTTTTGTTTAACCTTGTAATGTCCACTGTATCATATTTGATGCATTGAATATGATACCTCAATAATGCTACTAAAAGCTGCTATAGATGTCACGATAAACAGCTATTGCGGATTTGACGTGCTATGAAGAAGGTACAGTGAATTGTACATTATGACAGTAATATTTCCAATTAGTACTAATAAAGTTATGTCTCAAACAAAGTTTCATTCATATGTTTCTTAAAATGAACTGTACAAGAAGAGTCATAACAGTCAGCATTCTCTCGCAATTTTTCTGAAAGCATAGCTTTTCCTGGGCATTACAGGGTCAACAAATTTCCATTCACTGAAAGTCTACTTTATAGGCATTTCATTAAACATGTAACAACTATTTTATATAGACTTGAATAGACATAGTCTAATGTACTGTGCCAAATCGGGGTTTTATTTGCTCCAGAAGCTGCTCGAAAATGTCTTCTATCAATCGCACCACTACTTTGGGAATGCCACTTTAAAGACTATTGTGTAGGGTCGCAAAAGTGCAATTTCCTTTTGGCAGATTGTCCGTTTCATGGGCCATTACCTGCTTGCGTTAAAGTTGCCAAGCTGACCTGGATGCTACATCACAGCCACCGAACAGAGCTGGATTTCCTGAACACCCTCACCAAAGCTGAAGATGCCTTCCTACCATCATTTCTGTTCCTGGATTGCATTCTCACCTGAAAGGATGGATCCACTCCCATGTCAGTCATTTTGTCATGACTACTTTGGTTGCTGCTGTTAAGAGTCATATCTGTTGGGACATATGTCATTTATCTGTATTGAATGCCATATCGTTTGGGACAGGTCAGTTTTACTTTGTGAATGTATGTATAGCAATACAAATTGCCTTTAGATTGCAGTGTCACGTCCAACCATGAGATGATGCACACTTGCTGGGAATTGACAAATCGTTCAGCCCACTGGATTGAGCTTCATGAAAGGGTCTTGAAATCTGCAAAAGCTGTCGAATGTCTGGGAAATTCGAGTTACGGAAAAAATTGTTCAGTGAATTCATCTATAAAACGGCATAGGTCAAGGAAGACTGCTTCCTTGGTGCTCACACGTATATATTTGGTTTACTATTATAAAGGCCGTTTATTGCATTTACGGAAAACTGAATGCAGTAGCCCAGTTATGAGTTTTTGGTCACGCCACTTGGTTCTCCTCATCTTCTCTTGCTTGTCCCTAAGCTTATATATAATATTTCCGTCTCTAGTGATCCTATTCTATGTCGGTATCTTTACATATTCAATCTCTCTGGTACCTTAAGAATATGACCATAGCGGTGTGGACGCACTAGCAGGTGAACCAACCGCTGCGGGCGCATATTCTCTCATGCTTGACACATGAATTTAGTCTTGTAGTTAAACGGGTGTCTTGTGTGGGAATCGTCTCCTGGCCATGAATAGTGTGGTGTTTCTTGAACGGCGATTTCAATATTCGTGTGCCTTCTCTTCATATGATCTACGTGATGCCTGTGCCTCCTGCCATTTTGAGTTACCGTTAGAAATGACCGTTAGCCGCATTCTTCAAATACCACGGGTAGCCATGCGGGGTTGTTAAGAAAATTCTTAACCCATACCTTGTAGCCTGGCACATAGTGTTCTGCTATGTCATTCACCTTTCTCTCTTGGGTAAGTTTTCGCAAGTGTAGCGCGTCCAGGTGGGACGGCAGCTGCCTTCCAAACATTAGCTCTGCAGGCATTTTCTGCATTATGGTGTGTGGTGTCGTATGCTTCTTGAAAGAAACCTCGGTAGCCGGCAGGAAAAGCTTCCATCAGTCAATTTGTCGAGAGCCATTTTCACTTCTTCTACCACACGTGCCGCTTGCACATTTGTTGCCCAATGATATGAAGCTGATGTTATGTGCTGATGTTAGGACCGTACGTTCACGCATTGCGTTCTCAAGTTTTTTGAAAGCAGTCTTGTGTGGAGCTTTCTATTGCCACTTAGTTTCTTTGTCCAATAAACTATGAAGAGGTTCGGTAATGGATGCCTTGTCGTGGAGCAACCGGCTGTAAAAGCTCATCGCTTCTTAGGAGCATTGCAGTTCTGCCTTGTTTGTTGGTTCTGGCGCACTCGTTATTGCTTCGACCTTTTCAGACGTTGGCTCAACCCTCTTAGAGCTCACTTTGTAGTTCAAGAACTGCACTTTGTGTACACCAAATATGCACTTTTCTCTGTTGGCTTTAAGGCCCGCCTTTTGCAAATGCTGCAGAACTGCTTCCAGTCAATCTAAATGCTCTTCGTTTGACGCTCCCACAATCAGGATGTCATCCAAATAGACGCAAACACTGGGTATTCCAGCGAGCAGAGTGTCCATGAAGCATTGGATTATCGATGGTGATGCTGAAACGCTGAATGGTAGTCGCTTCACCGCGTACGATCCTTCAATTGTATTGATAGTCAGCATCTCTGAAGTGGCCTTGTCGACATGCAGTTGTTGATAAGGCTGTGTTAAATCTATCTCGGAGAATATCTGTCCACCTCGAACAGTTGCAAGCAACTCTACTGGCGTCGGCAAAGGATACGTGGTTGGCTTGATACTCGCATTCACAGTGCTTCTGTAGTCCCTGCACAACCGCAAAGATCCATTCTTCTTCCTCGCCACTACCGCGGACGTAGCCCAGTCCGAGGCGGCGATGGACTCAATTATGCCTTCATGTGTGCAGCATGTGTGTGAGTATTGCTGTGTGCCTACACAGCAACACTCTCACACATGCTCTGGTAGTGTAGAAACGCTCCTCCCGACTCTTCCTCAAGCAAGTGGGAGAGGTCCCTCAAAAGCTCACTTCTAGCCGATCAGCAATGAATGGGCTGTCCAGCAGGCCCACAGAGCGGCGGCCAGGTTACTTCCGGTTGTTTCCTACGTGGGAGATGCCTGCTACGCACTAAGCGCATACTGCGGCACAAAATAGGTTTCTCATTCTATTTCTGGAGCTTGTCGACTTCTCAACAGAGGGCATCGCGTAGAGCAAATGGCATCTGCCGGCATTTCAAAAACTTGGGTGTCGTGTCTTCAGCCAGGTCGATGTGTCCAGGTGGGCCTGAATGTCCACTGAGAGCATAGTCGAACACCGCAGAGAACTTGGCTAAGGTGTCCTCAATGGTTCTTCCTGCCTGTGAGATTGTTGAGCGCATGCATCATAATTCCCAGTTTTTTTAACCAATTTCTTCTTAACAAACTGCCTCCCACTCCTCCAGCCACGAGCAATAGTAGCTGAGCTCTGTTGTTTTGGAAAGAAACATCGATCATCACGGAACCCATGATGTCTGGACATTCTCCCGACCATGTCCGTAGAGCAAGCTTGTGTTCTTTTAACACCGGGGCATGATGAGACCAGAGGGGAGCAAAAGTCACTCCACTTATTATCGAGAACGCCGCTCCCCAGGCAACTTCCAGCTTGAGTGACTGACGAGAAAGTAGAACTGCCACGACAAACCTAGATGTGGTTTCCATTTGTGGTTTCTTGTTAAAAACTGTAAGGAGGCAGTCCTAACAGTTTGTATTTCTCTTCTAAATAATGGCTTCCTTGGTACTTCTGTGCTTTAGCCTTTTAGAGACAAGCTTTGGCCATGTGACCTTTCATATGGCATATGTTACTCGTAGCATTTTTGAAGAAACACTTCTCGGCCTTATGATCTGCTAGACATCAGAAGCACTGAGGCGGCTTGCTTGTAATGCACTCTTGAAAATGCTGACAATTTACATCGAAAGTGTCAGCCTACGTCTGGCTGCCTTGTATCTGCCTGTGCTCGTTTTTCGCTGATTCAGTCATCAACTCCAGTTCGTAGGCTATCTTAATAGTTTGCTTATTCTCAGTTAGAAGCCATTGTTGAAGCTAAGAATGGTGGATTTCACATACCAATCTGTCTTGTAGCATCACTCTCAAAGTTAGTATTGTACTCGCTGCTTGAGATTGGACCTTCGCGCTACTGCCTGACGCCTCCCGACCTGCCGTCGTGGAGTGTACGTTGCCAAAGTTGCAGTCCTTTGCCAAGGTTCGCAGAGCTGTCACATAATCCTTGATGGATTCGTTAGGAAGCTGTTCTCGTTTCTGGAAACGATAATGGCCAAGTAACTCGGATAGCCTGTGATCAAAGTGCTGCATCAGTAGCTTGATGATGTCCACCTCTGAAGGCTTCTGTGAAGTTTTTTGTTTCTTGTTAGATCTTGATGAAAATTTGCACATAGACTAAGAATGACCTCCAATGCTTCTGTGTAAATTTCAAAGTGATATCACTAAAACTTCCTGTGAGACATATAATTTTATTATGGTAACTCGTGCATCGACGGGAGAGTTCCAAAAATGGCATAAAAAGTTGATAAACACTGTGTGATGAGGTAAATGTATCCTGAAGAAGGCTGCATTTTTCCAAATTATTTTTTGCAACACTAAAACTTCTAGTTTAGATTATTTTCATTGCTGCTTTACTTCACACTTTCACTACAAATAAGAAGCCTTGACAAAAGTTTTGAAAAGCCTGAATTTAAGAAAGCCAAACGCAGCCCCGTGAAGTACAGTTCAAGGAGTGTCATAAAACAAACAGAACCAAAATTTGTCAAGTAGTTGTCAAGATATCTGCTCCACGATCAGAGCAACATGCCAAAAAACAGTATTGAGAAATCAAGATTTAAAGTTCTGCATCATGTTTGCCTGCTTAATAGACACAAGGGTTATAGTTCTTGGTGTCCTTAGCGGTGTGCCATCACTTAGCCATCTGCCCTTTAGCCTGGTGACCTTTTGCAGCTTTTTTTTTTCACATGGTGCCTTTTTCAGCTGCTCTGCGGCATTCACAGCATCCAAGTTGAAGACCAAAATAGGCGAAAAGCTGGGTTTAGGCATGGAGGTTTCCCACATTATACCTGCATATCGCTTCACTAACTGCAGTTTCTGTAGCTATTAGTGAAGTATGCTATTCTTTAGGCATAATGGACCAAATAACTGAGTGCAGGCCTCATGGTACTGTCTGGGATCCATGATGGCTTAAACTATGGTAATGAGGAACTAGTGGCAGCCAGCTTGAACATTCCACGGAGGTGTCAACACCTGCAGCCCTAAACCATTCATGAGATAAAGGAACCTATTCCAACTCTGATGCGACATCACTTACCTCTTTTCAATCCTGTCGTAAACGGCACTTGCTAGAGGGCCACAATATATGTCAGTTTCTTCTTAGTCTCGTTTCTTTTTTTTGCTTCTCCAGGACAGCCAGTGTTTGAAGCAGGTCACCAATAAATGTGTGATCCTATTGTGTAACTACGTCCAAAATAGAAGAGCGGCTTCGTGACCTGTGAATGATAAGTTTTGCTTTTTCACATTAAAGGAGCAGCAGGACGAGGACAGGCGCATGCGGCAATCTGAACAGATTTGATGAATGAACGTAAATATTCAGAACCAACTGCCCACAGGAGCCGAAACAGAAACGGCAACCTTACAGCTTGGTTAGTTAACTGCAACATGTGGTTAGGCACAAACAAAAAAGTGTAGACACTTCAGCTTTGCTTTTTATAGTAGAAAATTACAGCATTATTGGTCCCCGTTGGAGTCGCACTTTCTTTAGTATGCATTGCTGCAACCAATGGGAGAAAGTCAGCTTAACTCTAAAGCAGTAGTGCATTGCTGGGAAAAAGATTTTTTGAGGGCTATAAAGCCACTTTTTTATAAAAATGTGAAGGTGTTTTGTAGCCCTCAATGTG